AGACTTCAGACCTTAGACTCTTGAACTGTGGACGCCCATTGTGCGCGTTGAAACCACATCTTGGATCACTGTCGAACAGCACTTGAGACATTTTCTGCTGCTTTGAAAGTAGTACTCAGTGAATACTCCTAATGCCATATCACGTGCGACTGCACTAACCCACTTCAATGTTAGCTACATCTTCAAGCGCCCAAACCCCTTACCCTGCGTTCCAACACACCATTACGCGTGAACATTCCCTTTGGGCCATACAACATATACATTCAAGTTGGCTTCCCTCAATTCAGTACGTTACCTCGAGCTATGCCTATCAAATGTTCATTCTGCCGCCGCAAATATGCCTGCTCAGGTCCTTACAAGAACCACCTACAAATAGCACATGCCAGGCTGGGCGCTGTTCTCACGTCCGGCATAGTACCCCAGCTTCCGCTCCGCATACTATCTGAACAGGACGATGACGGCGGCCTTCTTGGACAGAATGATCTGATGGATTCCGATTATGAATCTGACGCGGGTCCAAGCGGATACCCCCCGAATCCTGCGCATGTCCCGGACGTGGAAGCACTCAATACCGACTACCAATCCCCTGATGCCATCGAAACGGCATATTATCCACTCGCTGGGCGATGTGTTGGAGACGTGATAGAATTTGAGGAGGAGCACAGTATTCTGATCAAGGATCCATGGGCACCATTCACGAGTGCACACGGATTCAAGCTCGCGTCTTGGTTTATTCAGCGCAAGGTGTCAAAGTCATGAATTAATAAATACTTTTCAAGTGGTCTCGGGGATTCAGCCTCAGCTGGCTATAGCTCTATGCATATGCTTGAGAACCACCTGCGATTGTTGGATCCGCACGGACAATATCTGCGATGGTTCGAAGGCCAAGTTGACGATGGCAAGAGAACTTTCCCGTTTTACTACCGGAACATACTAGACTGTGTCAGATATCTTCTGCGGCAGGCAGGATACAGAGATGGTTTGGTCTTCGCGCTGCGATGGGAGTATGACCACAACGGACAGAGGGTGTACGCGGAAATGCATACCGCAGATTGGTGGTGGGACCTCCAGGTAAATCACCCACTTCTCATCAGTCATGCGAACGCCGGTTGACTGGTGCAGGAAACGCTCCCGCCTGCTGCGACTGTTGTTCCGATTATTGGGATGTCCGATCAGACGCATCTTACCAACTTCTCTGGAGACAAGAAGGCTTGGCCCGTATATATTAATGTTGGAAATCCCCTGTCGACTAGGCATAACAAGCCTGGATCAATGGCAGTTCTCCTTCTTGGGCTCCTCCCAGTCCCGCCCAAGTTGCCAAAGTCTTCTTCCGCGAACGAACTCCAGAGACAAATCAATGCCGACACACTCCAAGGAGTATTCGAACTCATTCTCGAGCCCTTACACCACGCAGGGCTCCACGGCGTCCCAATTCAGTGTGCAGACGGCCAAGTTCGGAGGTGCTTTGCTATCCTGGCCCCATGGATTGCAGACCATATGGAAAACATTGCGCTACACGGTGTAAAATCGAACGCCTGTCCTAAATGTGCGGTCCCTGCGGATAAGTTAGGTTCAGCCGAAAAGTAACCACATCCCACCCGGGATTATGTGAAATATGCTCTTCTGGAACAAGATAGTCTGGATAGCGTCACGCACTGCGACTCGGAGGCAGTCCCTGGCACCTTTCATGCACTTGGCATCAAGGTAGGGCGAAACCTTTTTCATGGACTTCCACATGCTTCGGCGTCCAATCAGCACCAGCCAGATTTGCTACATACCACTTATCTTGGACTATTCAAGCAAATGATGGACTGGGTTCAGGGATTTCTCAAGAAGCACGGGCGACAGCAGGCCTTTGACGATGCCTGGAGCGCATTACCACGCCTATCCGGGATTCTTTGTCCCCCAAAAGGCCTACAGTGAGGTTACGCAGTGGCAAGGAAAGGAAATAAGGAACCTAGGACGTTGCCTCTTGGGGGTCCTCGCTGCGGCTCTCAGATAGCCTGACAGTACGCAAGCAACGCCTTTCAAACGTGCGCTCATCTGCGTCCGGTCATTGCTCGATTTCAGTTTGATGGCCCAATACTGTAGCCATACCCCGGAGACCATAGATTATATGGAACAATATCTTGCACGTTTTCATTCGACGAAGGATATCTTCTTGGAGTTTCGGATATCTAAAAGGACACGAGAAAAGCTCAACGACCAACGAAGAGAGTGGCGAGGTCTACGGGGGCGTGTGGATCAATCTCTTACCAAATCCAAGCAGCGTCGGATGCTGGAGAAACATCGTGGGGAGGACGACGACTTATACCTAGAACTGATCCATGCGGAATCTCATTTTAACTTTATTAAGATGTATCTGCGCGGCCATTTTCCGGATCACATATATCAGTTCGGCAACATTCAAATGTATTCAACGGAGTTTGGCAAGCTCGCGCCTAAGGAACAAATCAAAGACGGCTGGCGGTGTTCAAACAAAAACAACGCCGCGCCCCAGATCCTACAGAGCTACAGTCGGCAGCACGGGATACACATGAGACTCTTGAACCTGGACCCGCTTCGACGTCGAGGCGCAGATCTACCGCCGGACGCCGTTGACATGTTGAAGGCAGAAGATACTGCATCTGGGTCTGTCACATGCCGCAGGATCCTAAACGGACGGCAACATGACGTTTCAAACATCGTGGATTTGTGCAAGGCGGTCGGAATTTCGACCGACAGCATTTGCGAGGAATTGATCCTGTATAGCCGTCGCAGCCTGCCAATGGAGCGCTCGCTTCCCGAAGATCCTGCAATACTTCGACTACTTCAGACTGAACTGATAACGCAACTTGAAATCCCCATTCCGGCGTTCCAGGAAACCAAAGTTTATGATGTCCACCGGGCGCGGTGTACAGGTTCTCGGCTCTTCCGTAAGCAACAGAGTTGCAATGATTTGGTTTGGGGGCAGGTAGGAGGGGAGCAAATGTATGGTGCCCTCAGAAGACATCTTCCCGCTACACTCAGGGCGCTGTTCAAGATCGGGGACTACAGGCACCGGCATAGGGTCTACAGACTCGGAATGGTGGAAATGACAAGTGTGGTTAATTCCGGACGGCCATCCGATGCCCATGGTCTCATCACGCGGGAGCAGAGGACAGAGGCACAACAGTTTCCAATAGTGGACATTGGGACCATTCTGGGCGAGGCGCACCTGGTCCCAGCCGGTGACCGGCGATGGCTGGTGAATAGTAGAATTGATTTGAGAACGTTCAATGAGATCTATTGAGAGCGCATCCAAGGGAACGAATGGAGGCCCTGTGGTGTATCCTGCATCGCAAGGCAGGATACACCACAGGGCCAGCAGGGAGCGTCGAAATCCCTACCATTGCGTAGCAACTCAAACTGTTGGTAGAAATAATTGCATAATAGTAGAGTAAAAATTAATGATACAAGATTCAAGTTGAATGAGATTGTGTTCAGAACCAGAGAACGTGTACTAGTAAACCAAGAACAGGGTGTGATGATGTACGACGTGGGCCTTGGTCGGAGGTGGCATCAGCTTGGAGACAGGAGAAGCTGTGGACATTGCGATGGGAGCTCGGGCGTCGGAACTTTCATTTCGGCATCAGAAAGGTGACGCCGTAGACTCGGACATGCTGACCGGGGGTAAACATGGAGGAAACGAGAACTGAGAGGTGGCCGTCAGAGATGAAGAATGCCGGGCCTGGGAATCAAATTGGTAGTTGACGGATTGCGGTAAGGGCGGCTGGAAACTAGCAATCAGGAAAGGAGTAAGAACAGAGCATCAGGATGCGGAGAAAGCTTGATCTCGCAGTTGACCTCGGGTCGCGGCGTCAGGACGACGACAAGATTGGATCAGAAACAGGACGCGGTCCGGACGTATGGGCGGACGGCTCCTGCTTGGAGACGGAGCAAATGGACAGGGTAAAAAGGGGGACGCAGATGACGCAGGGGGGCATTGCGCCGGCGTAGTTGACCCACGGGATGCAGGGGACGCAGGGGACGCAGGGGACGAGCGCGCTGCGTCCGGATGTGAGACGCGCGGATCTGACACAGAATGAAATTTTGCTGATGCAGTTGATTTGCTCTGTCTCCAAGCAGGCGCCATCCACCCACATGTCCGATCTGCAGCCTATTCACAATCCTATCATGTTGTGGTCCTGACAGGGTGACCTCTGCTAAACTTCAAGATCAAGGTTTCTCCCTATCTTGATACTCATGTCATACTGCTTTCCTGATTGCTCGATTCTGCTTTCTGTTACTGCAATTCATTAACTAGCAATTTGGTTACTCCACCTGATATTCCGCAACTCTGAAGGCCAGCTCTCAGTTTCTGTTACCTCTTTGTTTAGTGCCTGTCTGTGCATCTGAGTCTATAGTGTCACCTTTGCGCTGGTGAAATGAAAGTTTCAATGCCTGGACTCCTATCACACTGTCTACCTCTTGTCCGGTCTTCCTGTTGATGCTAGCTCTGGCCAAGGCTGAACGGATAAATCATTGCAATGTGTTCTTGGTTCACTAGTATACATTCTCTAGTTCAGAACACAATGTTGGTCAACTTGAGTCATGTATCAATAATTTTTACTATGCTATTATGTATGTTCCATCTCATCAGCCAAGAAGATTACTTGGCCAAGAGCATATGCTTTTGGTCAAGGAGATATGCTGTTCATGAAGTAGGTTACTTTGTGGATGAGATATGCTCCTGACAATGAAAGATTTATCCCATGCTACTGAACAAGCAAAATTGGTTTTGTTTTTTTATTAGGTACAAACAGCCGTATGCATCATGCAAACACTACATACACCACGATCCTACCCAAACCTCTTATATCCTACACCCATAGTAGGAGCTGCATGAAGGGTATTTGCTTTCCATCTAATGAGTGTACCTTCCATGTCATAGGCTAGTGTGAGTCCAAGTAGAGTTAGTACTTGTAGTAGCAAGGTTCATGGTACTGTTGGCGAGATTACTTAATGTCTCTCTATTAATACTAATTCTGTTCGAGTTGAGAGAGAGGAGAGGTTGGCACAGTCAAACTCCTGTGAGTGGCAATGTACGGAGCATTGAACCTTGTTCCGAATGCACCGACATCTTTCACTACATTTAGGACCTTTGCAATTACAGGAAATGCCAATTCGGTCGCTTGTAGATATCAGAGCAGCAGCCGCATGAAGTGTCATTTCTGTAGACATAATAGTGGTAGGAATTGGGATATTAATCCCAGCTGCCTCAGGAACACGGACGAGGGCATTCACAGGGTAGTGGTTTTTGAGAAGGCCATGTGCTGCTTGCAGTTTGTAGCGATTAGGATAGCTTTCAGCCATTATGCGAGAGAATATTCTTGGAGGATCTGTAGCTGCCCAATCTTCCGTTGGTATTTTAAGACTTACAAGATCCCCTGCTGAAAAGCATTCAATAGTATGCTGCTTGTTGTACTTATGAGCAGATCTGGCTCTCGCTTTTGCTGCTTCAGTCTGCATTGCCTCCTCAAGTACGGTCCGAACAACCATATTCTCAGTAGCTGTTTGGCTGTGCGGAACCTCTGGTATTATGAGAACCTGTTCCTCCACTTCCAGCTCAAGATTAGGACTCAAGTGTCCCTCATACATTCCACTATGATCTGAATCATCAAAGGAAAAAGGAATTCCAATTCTACCATCCATTGACCCAGGAAGGGTTTCTAGATCTAGTGCCTGTGGCTCTTGATCATCACTTCTCGTATGCGGAATATGAGACTCTAGATTTGGCTCTTCCTCAGAAATATTGTTCAGGGTTTGCTGAAGGCGAGAATGAATTGGTATTGACTCCTCCCATTGGGGCTTTCGATTAAACATAATCTCATAGGGAGAATGTCCTCCAAGACTGGAATGTGGCTGCCGATTCCTTGAGAGCGCAATTTCTGTTAAAGCCTGAGACCAACAGTGTGAGTTTCTACCTGATGCAACTGTGTCCAGCTTCCATGCTTGAAGCTTGGTCTTCATAGTTCCATTTGCTTGCTCAACTAGACCTTGTGTCAGGGGTGTCCGAGGTCGTCAATTACACACTTTGATTCCATGTTTCTGTAGGAGAATAAGCAGAACCCCATTGAACTCACGGCCATTGTCACGTTGCGGAATTTCTGGAACCCTGTAGCATCCAATCCAAACTGCCACTTGACTTGCCACCTCTTCAGCAGTCTTGCTCTTTAAAGGGAATAAAGGAGACCATTTACTGAAATAGTCCTTTATATGAAGAATCCATTTGAATTGCCCATCAGGTTCATGCCTCATGACAATGAGATCAATTTGGATTCGCTGAAGTGTATGATCTGAGATGATAGGTTCGAGTGGTGCCCTGGATCGCTTTTGCCGGCTAAGAACACAGGTTTGACAATGTTTGAGTAACCACTCAACCTCGGGTCTAGTTATTGCATAGTAGCGGTCCCGTATCGTAATTGTAGTCTTATTCATTCCAGCATGTCCTAGCTCGTTATGTACTCCCCAGATTTTATAAAAAATATCAGCTGGCTGAACAACCTCACAGTCTAGTCCAGGAATATTATCCTTCATTACTCCCTTTCAAAATAGTTTACCATCTTTAATAATAAAGTAGGTAAGGGCATCATGTCTTTGGTTGTACTGGTGTTGTTACTGGGGCCCAGGAGGAGGCTTCTCATCTAGAAAAATCAACCAGTTTCGGTAAGAAGTGCATTTGTCTTGATGAAAGAGCCACTATAATGCCATTTCTGTTAGATTCAATAGTACTCTATTGCACTTATTGCCTTTGGAGGGTGTCGCATACCCGGTTTTGGTGCTCCGGCGAATTTAACCATCGCGTAAATTGCCTGAAGGTTCCCTCTGTAAAGGCAGCACAGGAATTGTCGTTTGGCTCCCTCGGGTCCTTATGCAAGGAGCATATCTGGTCTGCAGTCTATGTAGAAGAAAGGCTTTGGATTGGTGGATTGGTGGATTGATGAATTGATGAATTGATGAATTGATGAATTGGTGGGAGAAAAAGTGTGCCGCACACTAGGAGAGCAGAACAATGTAAACCTTATTCTATAAAGGTAGGAAAAACTGGTTTTTTATTTTTCTTTTAATACTTTGTGGGGGGGATAGCTAAAGTGAGCACTTGCTCTATAGCATATCTCTCAGACAAAGTGACCTTCTTCGCGAAGAGCATATGATCTTGGCCAAGTAATCTCCTTGGCTGGTGAGATGGAACATGTACTTATCTCTGCAGAGAAATTGAGTTACTATGCAATTGCAGAGATTCCAATACTCCCTGCTGGCCCTATGGCCTATCCTGCCTCGCAATGCAGGATACACCACAGGTTTTTCCTTTGTTTTCTACACTCCAGTTTCAATAGACCTCTTAGAATGACCTCAAATTGATTCTCTTAGGTGACAGACATCACTGCCCCCCAGCTGGAACCAAGGATGCCTCTGTTAAGTAGTAGGTAACTCTGAAGGTAAGGGAGTATACAACAGGCCCCGTATTCTTCAGTCTCAGAGATAGTCAAAAAGGCACGTTAAACTAGAAGTAAAGTAGAAGGCAGATATTGATCTGAGCTCTTCTCCAGGTGTGGATGATAGATTTTAAACCTATTGATTGTCTTTCTGTTTTTGGTTAACTCCTTGATTATTTGTTTAGTGTACACAAAACATATAGAGCACTAGCTATGACAACAAAAAACCCATATTCATTCTCGTGGTATAGGAAAATAGCAACCCCCTAAGCCACTCTAGTATGGAGCCAACCACATGTCTCACCTCAGAGAAAAGAAATGCAAGCCCCACTAGAGTGACAAACAAGGAAATTCTACCTAAGCAGAAAGCAGGAAGGGCCAGGAAAAGCCAGTGAGCAATGCCAGCAACAAAAGAAAAGTTAGTCACAAGCAACTGTAACGGGCAGGGTCTGAGGGTCGGGTAGCCCAAGGCACACCACGATAGTACCAGGCAAGAGTCTGGAAGCGAGGTTCAGGAACGGGAGTACAACCGAAACGAGTTGTACAAGGCTCGAGGGGTTCAGGGGCTCAGGGTCAGGGTTCAGGGGTTCAGGAGGACGCGAAGTAGAAGAGAGTGTAATTCCTAAGTACAGGTGTCCGAAGGAGATTACCAGATTGCGTGAAGAACACAAAATATAAGGGGGCACACCCTCTTATATAGAAAGAAATCCCCCTCTGATCACTAATACAAAAGAAATCCCTTGGCGTCGCGCGCAGCCGCGATCTCTCCACCATGTTCCGCCAAGTTCCGTCACGTGGCCCCATGTCCCAATCAAGTACCCAAGGAAATCCTTCGCATAGCAACCAGAAAACCCCAACCGATATATGCAACGAAAAACCCAATAACTGTTCCGTCTCCGTAACTGGGTGGCCGTGACAGCAACCTGGGGCCTCAAAGGGTAAGTCCTGTAATTGACATGAGGAAGAGAGGCCAGAAGTGAGTTAAGGAAGGGGGGACCCCGCAGACACACTCTGAGGTGATAGTGCAATACTATGGAGGGACGGAGGAGACCAGCCGGGTGTGGGGGTAACCAGGGTGAGAGGATGGGACAGGAGGCGGCAGAGTGCCAGCCAATGTAACCATAGCCAGAGGAGAGTGGGGGGTAGACCCAAGACCTTAAACACAGTCTATTAGTAATTGCATTTGTGTTGAACAAGGCTGTCACAAACTGTGACTAAGCAAGGCAGATTTCACATAGCTAGGAATTCCGAGCTATAGGTATGTTGGGATTTCACATGACGCACAGTAGTGCGCCATAGGTTATTATGTTTACCTGTTCGTGACTCACAAGGGTGAGTCACACGATATTATGATTTTCGCACATGACTCAGATTGTGAGTCGTGGGTTTTACTCAGGCGACGCGAGTTGCGCACCTGAATTGGTTATTATGTTTTGATTGGTTTTAGGGACGTTGCACAGCGACTCATAGGAGTCAGCTGATGGATTTCACATGACTCATAATTATGAGTCACAGGGTTTGCGTGACGTATAAGTATGAGTCACACCAGGTGAAGAGCTACTATATAAAGGGTTACTAGGACCCCTAGTAATAGCTCTTCACATGTTCTTCTTGTTTATTTCCTACCTTTAAGTTATCGATGAAACCTACCTTTACGGTCTTTAAGATTTATCTCAAGAAACCCGAGAATTGTCTTTCCTCCCACACGAGGAAACTATTTCTCGTCCCACGATTGAACGGATAAGTCCTAAGTAAGGACTTGAGAAGAATAGAGGAATAGGCGCGATAGGATAGCCCTGAAAGGACATAGCTATCAACATCGCGTAGGCATAGGCCTAAGAACTATTACCTCGCATATGGTAAGTATCGTTACCTGTCCTACTAACACCTCGCTAAGCAGGATTCTTAACAAAGGCAGCCTCTTAAGGAAACAAGAGAACGGGGAGATCAACCATAACCTGTTAGCTGGTCTCCCCTACAGCAAACTGTAGTCCCGGGAGTCAGATGGTGGTGGTTAAGCAGTTGCTGAAGCTCAGATAGAGTTCATTACGGGCCGTCTGGGGCCCCGAAAAACATAGGCCCCCAGCCCCATTCCCCGCCCCATCCCGCTCACCGGCCCCAGGTGGGGCATTTTTGGAGGCTGGCTCTGCCCTATCAGCTGCCAGGGCCCATGCCACACCCAGGCCCTAGACAGGTCCTCAGCAAATTTAGGTAGGAAGATGTGGGGCCCTGTCCATGTAAAGATCAGGGTAGAGCCCAGAGCGGGGGCGGGATGAGAAGGACTGCTACAATACCCCACCCAGCCCCATGTAACAGGGGGCCCTAAGAGGGCAAGCCCCGCCCTGCCCCACCCCCTAACAAACACTATGCTCAGAAGGCTAAGAGGGACTAATTCAAGAGGAGGAGATGACTCGCCTCTACACCGAGATGGAGGAGACGACTCCGCACTACACCAGGAGGGAGGCGCGAGGCTGTAACATGTTTAAGCTGGGGCGCTAATTACCCTGTCAGATACAATAGGAGTAGTGAGTGATCTGCCAGAGATTGGCTGCTCTAGGCTGGCTAAGGGAGGCTTCGGGGGTGTAATAGGAACAGAATAAACGAACCGTGCAATCAAGTATATTAGAATACAATCTGTCGAAGTCTGCCATTTCCACAGTGGGAGACGGCTGTCTTTTTAAGTACCTGTGTTTGAGTGTAATCATGAATTCTCACTCATGTTCTGACTCAATCAAAGTGTAAAAATAACCAAGTATCAAGTGATACTTAAAACAAAACATAAAACAAACTAAACTTAACCAAGCACCAGGTCTGGTTACAGAGGGAGAATAAAGACACCCATTAGCCCCCTAAGGAAAGTGGGTATTTTATCCCCTCTCGCTAGTAGTCCCTTGTTCTGGAAGCGATAGCATCACTGTAGTGGACCGGATCCTACCATTGGCCAGCTGTAGAGTGTCATGGGGGCACCCTCAGGTAGATGGTTCCTAAGAATGTGACCGCACCAAACATCAAATCTTTCGAATACAGCTCTTGAAAAGTATAAAGCATAAATAGAACCGTAAAACTTAATATCATTAAGTGCAGGCATATCGCAATTAATTTCATCTCGAGAGGATATTGAGTGTGTCTGGGTAGGAGAGTTCTCATATAAGTTTTAAGTAGTTCCACTGATACCAAAAACTGCCCCCTCATGTTACTCCGACCAACACAACTATGCCCTTCTCCGCAAGGGTTGTCCAGCACCATTATGATATCTTCAAAGGCCCTATGGTGGCAGCGTACTCTAATAGCGCTTCCTCATATACATATCAGTTCCTGTGAGGTATTTACCAATATCCCTGGTTGAGTGAACACCTTTGTGCATCGGTATCTCATCAGTGGCTAACTGTCAAGAGGCCTAGAAAAGCAAACTAAATGACTCTCATCCCATGTTCGATGAAAGAGATTTAGACTATGTTGGAATGAGAGTGTATTGAGGTTCTTAATGTTTTTACGTCGCCGGAGGTGTCCTATATGTACACTGCCTCGACTTTT